CGATAATGAAGAAAACTCGAATTCTGAAATACATTTTATTTTTTTTAATAAAAATAAAAAAATCCTTCTTTGGTATTTTAAAATTAATTATTAATTACTGATTAATTTTAAATAGAAATTTTATTACTAAAAAAAATAAAATTAATAATAAAAATTAATAAAAATAAAAAAAATAAAAATTATTTAATAAACACAAAAAATAATTTTTAAAATTTATTTTTTATAAAATTGGTTAAAAAAAATTAAAAATTAAAATTTTACTAATAAATTAGTTTCCTAAAAAAGTTTTTTTTTTTTTTTTTTTAAAAATAAAGTCTATTATTACATTATATTGATTATTTAAAAATAAAATTAATTTTTTCTAAAATATTCCATTTTTATAAATGATTTTCTATTTTTGTTTGACTTATTAGAAAATAAAAAAAAATAAAAAAAAAATAAAAAAATAAATTTAATAAATAATTATAGTTTAATTATTTTTTTATTATTAAATTCATTATAAGGAATCAGATTCAAAATATTTTTAATTTATTTTTATTGTTTAATTCAGATATAAATAAATAAAAATAAATAATTATTTAAAATTTACTTTTTTTTTTTTTTAAATAAATTTTATTTAGAAATAATATTAATTTTGGTTTAGAAATATTCTAATCTAAATTTTGTATTTGTAATAATAAAAGTAATTGAAAAAATACTATAACAAGAAAATAAAAATGTTAATAAAAGAATAGTAAGTAAATATTTAGATATTTTTATTTTTTTTTTTTTTTTTATTTATTAATTTTTTTTTTTTTTTTTTAAAAATTATAGCAGGATAACCTTACCACTTACAACAGAAGAATATAGATTGGGTCAAAAATATATGACAACAAGAAAGTCTAATGAATCTTCTAATACAGGTGAAAATGTTGAAGTTTTAGAAAGATCTCCATTTGAGGATGAAGATGGTAATAAAGGTACATATACACACAAATTATTTTTATTAAATAAATCCTTACCAAGATATGCAACAGCTATATTACCAAAAAGTGCTTTAAAAATTGAAGAAAAATCTTGGAACAGTTTCCCACATACTAAAACGGTTTATAGTGTAAGTTATAAATATATAGATATCAAAAAAATAAATAATATTAATTATTTTAATTTATTATTATAGTGTCCATTTTTTGGGGAAAAATTTTATTTATGTATAGAATCTATGCATAAAGATGGTTTAGAAGAAGAAGAAAATATTTTTAACCTTTCAAAAGATACACTAAAGAAAAGAATAGTAGACCATGTAGATATAGCCAATGATCCAATTGACCCAAAAGAATATAAAATCGAAGAAGATCCAAACCATTTCAAATCAAAGCTAACTGGAAGAGGACCATTAACCGGTAAAAATTGGAAAAAAGATATCAAACCAGCAATGACCTGTTATAAATTAGTTACTGTTAATTTTAACTATTGGGGTTTCCAAAACAAAATTGAAAATCTTGTTCAAACTAATGGTTTAAGAGAAGTTATCTTAAAAGCACATAGATGTTTAATATGCTGGCTAGATGAATGGATTAATCTTTCTGAAAAAGAACTCGAAGAATATGAAAATTCCACAAACAAGAACTCACCTCCACAACATCAACAAAGTATTATTTCTTCAGATACTAAAAAACATGGGATTAATAAAATAAACAAGTGTCCAAAAAACTGTGATGATGATAGAGAATGCCAACATTGTAATCATCTAATGGTAACAACCACAACCACCGAAACTATTACCAGAACCACTACAACAACTTCATCACCAATGTGTTGTGCTCAAAAGATTGTAAGTCTAACTTTATATATATTATAATATTATTTATTTATATTAACATGTTTTTTCATCCTCTTTATAGAATGCTGATAGTATTAATGTAATGAACTAAACATTAAACATAAAAAAAACAAATAAACAAACATATAAATAAAAAAAAAGATAATATTTTTTTATCTATTATTATTTAAGAATAATAATAAAAAAAAATATTTTAATATTTATAATATAAAAAAAAAAGAAATAACATTCTATTTTGTTATTTTTTGTCTTTTATTTACAACTTTTTTATTTTCGGCTTTAACTTCCTCCTCTTCTTCTTCCTTTATTTCTTCTTTTTCTTTTTTCGTTTTCTTTTTATTTGATTCTTTATTTTCATTTTTAAATGCTGAAATTTCATTTGCAAATAAAATTGTATGGGCCCATCCAGCTTGAGGACCAAATATCTTTTCCCAAAATTCATTTAAATGCTTGTACATCTTTGGACTAAGAGTTCCTTTTAAATTTGGTAAATGTTTCTTTGAAATTTTGAACACATGGGTATCTATTGGCACAATGTGTAATTTATTTAAAGAGAATAACGAGATGCAATCTGCAACCTTTGGACCAACCCCCATTAAAGATATTAATTCTTTATGTGACTCTGTATGTGGTTTGGATACTAAGCCATTGAGCCATTCCTCACCACCATTTGCAATTACTTGTTTGCATGACTCGACGATATATCTTGAACGATAGCCAAAACCCATGTCATTTAAGTCTTTTTCTTTAGCTACCGATAGCTGCTCTAATGTTGGGAACTGGTAATAAGATTGGCCATTGAAATCTGAAATTTTGGTGCCATAAGTTGTTATTAACGATTTTACCATCTTACTAATTCGACCAATGTTATTATTTTGGGAGCAAATAAAACTAAATAAACAATCCAATGGATTTTGTTTAATTAATCTCAGACCTTTAAAACTCTCACTTGCTTCTCTAAATTGACTATTTAATGAATGTAGTTGCTTTAAATCCTTGACTGAATCGGCCCTCCATTGACTAAAAAGTTCATTGATGTCATACTTTAGATTGAAATAATCTTTCAATATTTCTAATCTGTCTTGTTCGCTCTGATTCACTATTTCTTTATTTACTAAATTATTTGAATTTTTAAATTTAAATTCTATTATATTATTATTACTAAACTCTTTATATCTTAATAATACTATATATTTATTTATAACACCAATATAAACTAAATTTTCGCTTGTTGATTCATTTTTAAATTCTATTATATCTTTTTCTTTTACTTCACTCCATATAAATGATTGTCCTGAAAATAATGTTTTTTTTAAATCCAATACATTATTATTTAATTGATAGCACTCCCATTCTTGATTACTACTATTTTTATTGTCCATATTATAAATTAATTTTTTTGTTGTTGTTATATAATTATTAAAATAAATTTTATTATTATTTTTTAAATTGTTTATTTTAAAATATTTTTTGAAAAATGATTTAATCATTTACAAAATGCAATTTGCATAAAGTAATTTTATGTTTATTTTATTATTAAAAAAATAGCAATGAATTTTATTGAAATTTAATAAAAATGATAAATAAACTAAAAAAATAAAAAATAAAAAAATAAAAAAAAAATAAAAATATATTAAAAATTATTTTTTTTAAATTTTTATACGAAAAAAAATTTTAATTACCTAATTATTATTATTTTTAATTTTAGTTTATTATATACAATTATATATTTTTATTATATAAATATATAATTATAATAATGATAACAAGAAATTTAATAAAATCAATTAAAAACACAAATTATCTAAAAGCAAATAATTTATTATTACAACAATCACAACAATTTTATACAACCACAACTAATAATACTAATAATAGTAGCAATAAATCAAATAATGAACCATTTAATAGATCAAAAATAGAATTAAATTTATTTCAAAAAGGATTATTAACAGTTGGTAGTGCATTTGTAGCATTTGCAAATCCAGAGAGAGGTGATATGGTTGCTACTTTGGGTGAAGTTACTGGTGGATGTGCAATCAAAGCAATGAAAGAGAAAATGATGAAGGATCCAGTTGGAAGAGAATTATTAAGAGATAAACCAAGAATTAAAGAATCAACATACCCACAAAATATACACTTATTACCAACCACCACATTTGGAGGATCCTATTATCAATGGATGAAGGCTCATGGTTATACTCCAGATGAAAGATGTGAGGTACGTATGGTTGAAAACGATGATGATGCATATGTCATTCAACGTTACAGAGAAGTTCACGATTTTTGGCATGTTTTAGCAGGTATTAGACCAGATGTTCAAGGTGAAATCGCTATTAAATGGTTTGAATTAATTCAAACTGGCTTACCAATGACCGCTCTTAGTTCATTAGTTGGTCCTCTTAGATGTCCATCTGGTGAACGTGCTGAACTCATCAACCATATGATACCCTGGGCAATTAGATCCTCAAAAAATTGTAAATTTTTAATGAATGTAAAATATGAGGATCATTGGGAAGATGACATCAACGAATTCAGAAAAATGTTAAATTTTGAACCATATAAATATATTGATAATTCAAACTATATCAAAACTAAAAAATTTTAATCATTAATAACAAAAATATATTACAAAAAAAAAAAAAACAAATAAAATAAAATAAAACACACAAACTAAAAATATCCAAAAATATTTATTAAACTAAAAATTTATATGCATCTAAAACAAATTTCTTATTTATTTTTATTTTTTGTATTACAATAAAATAAACCTAGATCATCACATTTCCAAAATTACACATCACCCACAACAATACCAATATTTTTTTGGATCTATAAAAAGATTTTTATTTTTCTTTTTGTTTTATTGCAGAGAAAGATATTTTTTTTTTTTTTTATTATTTTTATTTTTATTTTTATTTTTATTTATTTAAAAATTGATCACAAAAATTTAAAATAAAAAAATAAAATTTTTTAAATAAAAAAAAAATAAAAAAAAAATTGTTCGTTAAAGATTTTTTATTTTGTTAATTTTTTTTTTTTAATAAATATAGTTAACGCTTTATAGAGCAATATAAACATAATTTAGATAAAATTCAATATATATAATATAATAATAAATATAAATATAAAAATAATAGTTTAAATAAATATTATAAAAAAAATTAAAAAATCTTTTTATTTTCATTTTTTCAGATTACTTTAATTTTTTCATTTTTTTATTTTTACATCTTTCAATGGATTGTGTAATTACAAGTGGCTGGTTACAGAAATGGTCATCAAGAGTATTATCTGAAAGCGAAAAATCAATTTTAGATAGATCATGTTCTGGAAATGGTTACCATTCATCATTAGTAACTCAAGGAGAAGGTCAATTAAAATCAAGATGGTTTATTTTACAAAATGACTTTTTAAATTATTATGATAAACAACCTGTAATTATACAAAGAAATTTATTATATCAAAATCAAAATATAAATATATTAACATTTTAAATTGATTATTATTATTTATATTTACAGAAAAAAATTCAAGATTATCAATGTTTAAAAGGTCAAATTTATTTAAAAGATTGTAAATTAAAGCATGGTGGATTAATTACCCCAATTTATCAACATTGGTCAATTGGTGTTGCACCCAATACAACAACTAATAGTAAGTGGAAGAGTATTGTAGATCAGCAACAGATAGAGCAACTTACCATTTCATTAATTACACCCAATGGTGTAGAATATTCATTTACAAATATGTCAGGACTATCAAATGATGATAAATATAAAAATTTAGAGAATTGGGCCTATTCCATTAGCTATGCTATATTTTTAGCAAACAAAGTTAAGGAAGAACCGGTATTTGGTTGGTTAAATAAGCGTGGTGATAAAGGACACAAATTTAAGAACACTAAACGTAGATGGTGCATTCTCCAAGGTAGCAAATTAAGATATTTCTCATCATTACCAAAACATAATAAAATTGGGTCACTCAAAGGTATAATAGATTTAACACATCTTTCAGAGATTAGCGATAAGGTGTTAACAGAAGTACGTGGTAAAAATGGCAGTGGTGTATTAGTAAGTGACGAAAGTAACTGGGGTGGAAATGGTGGTGGCGGTTTAGATTGTTTTGGTGGTACTGGTGCACCTGATCCAACATCAGGACCAAGAGACTCTAGAGAAGTATATGAAGTTAAAACTATTGTAGCATTATCACTCTCAATATATAATGAAAAGAAATATGTATTAATATTTGACAATCAAGAAGACCGTACTAAATGGGTAAATGCAATCACCAGAGCCTTAGAAAGTCTTACCACAAACAATAATATTGCAGAAGGTTCACCAGATATATTCCAATGTATTAATAATAACTCACCTGATAAACAAGTTTTGGTATCTGGTTGGATGAGAAAAACCAAAGCCAACAAGTGGTGGGAAAGAAGATTTTTCACACTCACCCAAACCAATTTGGTTTACTACAAGGAAGATCCACCACAAAAAGCATTGGGCTCAATATTTTTATTAGTTTCATCATGTAGAATTATAAAGCAAAAAAGTTTAGATGGCTTGGATTGGTGTTTCAGTATTGCTGATAGTAGAGGTATTGAATACTTTTTCAATACAGAAACCCAAGATCAAATGGAACGTTGGATCAAAGCCATTAAAATCGCTAGAAAGAAAATGCTATTGTCCCTTTTAGAATCAGGTGGTAAATTAATTATACCCATCACCTTGGGCAAGGACTGCGGTTTAATCACTATTCAAGTAAAAGAAATTATTAGAATCAATTCATTATCAAATAAAATTGCTTTTGAAATTCCAATGGGAAATGTCAAATCTGTGTCTGTGTCTGATGATTTGAAAGTTGAAGTGGTCTATACTCCTCTTGATGGCGAAGTTTCAGAGAAAAAAGTAGAATTTGTTACAAACAATCCACATGGTGTTTTACAATTATTTAAAGATTTATTCTCTTCACAAGAAAACTCAATAACCTTATAAAAAAAAAAAACTATTTATTAAAATATATAAATTATAAAATTTTATTTAATATTAAAAAAAAAAGAAAAAAAGTTTTTTTAATAATTTATTTTTTATAATAATAAAAATTATTATAAAAACTATATTATTTTTATTTTCTCACAAATATTATTATTATTATATGTTTTTTTTTTTAAATATTACTTTTAATATTCTAAAAGTTTTTTTCAATAATAAAAAAAAAACTAATATATATTTACATACACCCAAAATAAGTAAAAAATAATTTTAATTTTAATTTATTTTTTTTTTTATTTATTTATTTTTCCTATTTATTTTTATTAATTTTTTATTTTTTTATTTTTCATATTACAAAAACTTTGAACCTCAACAATAAAATTTAATAAATAAAAGAAAAGATAATTAAAATTAATATTTATTCATGTCATTATTAAAAAATAATTTTTTTTTATTATCAACCAAAAAAGCACAATTAACAAATAAAATAAATGCAAATAGATTTAGAGCTTTTACATATAATAGAACAGTTAAAGATGGAACAGTAGTAAAGCAACCAATACCTAAAGACCCTCATACAGATCCCCATCCAGAAAAACCAAATGAACTAGATCCTAAAGGTGGTTTACCTCCAAAACCAAATACACCACCCACTCCATTCCCTGAAGGTCCTAAGAAACCAAAACCTACAGACTTTCCAATCCCTGACGAATTGTATCCGCAACCAATATAAATAATAAATATATTGTTCGAAATCGAAATTAGTTTATTAGTTGGTTTTTAAAATTAATAAAATAAAGAATTTAATTAATTTACTTCAAATTATAAATATATATATTTTATTTTATATTATATATATATTTATTTTGGATTTATATATATAATTTTTTTTATTTATTTTATTTAAAAAAAGAATTAAAAAAAAATGTAAGATGTAGTTTTAAAAGGTATTTTTGTATTTAGTTTGTTGTTGTGTTTATAATAATAATTTAAGTGGGTTTTCCATGTAATCCTTGAATGATTTCAACCATTCGGCACCTAAAGCACCATCAACAACACGATGGTCGCAACTTAAGGTAACAGATAAAATAGTAGCATTTTCATATTGAGTACCTGGAGTAGTACCTGGAACAACACGGGTTTCGGTGGTACCAACGGCTAAAATGGCAGCTTGTGGTGGATTAATGACAGCACTGAATGATTTAATACCAAACATACCTAAGTTGGAAATAGTGAATGTACCACTTTCGAATTCTGATGGAGTTAATTTATTTTGGTGAGCTTTTTCGGCTAATGATTTAACAGTAGTGCTAATGGCATTGAGACCTTTCATGTCGGCACCTCTAACGATTGGGGTGAATAAACCTTGATCAGTGTTGACAGCAACATTAATATCAATGTTGTGGAATCTTCTAATGTATGAATCGGTCCAGGTTGAGTTTACAACTGGATTATCTCTAAGGGCAGCAGCGGCGGCTTTAATAATGAAATCGTTAACTGAGAGTTTGACAGTGTTGCCAGCGTTTAATTCTTGACGCATCTTAAGGATCTTATCGACACGACATTCCATAGTGAGATAGTAATGTGGAATAGTTTGTTTAGATTCAGTAAGACGAGCAGCAGTAACTCTACGGATGTTGCTGTGTGGGAAATCGGTAAAGGTACCAGTTGATGGGGCGGCAGTAGCGGTTGGTTTCTTGGCAGCAGCGGTGGCTGGGGCTTCAGCTTGTTTTTGTTGTGGGGTGAATTCTAAAACATCTGATTTAATAACTCTGTTGTTTGGACCAGTACCGGTAATTTGTGAAACATCAAAACCTTTTGAGGCGGCAGCAGCTCTAGCAGCTGGTGAGGCAAATACTCTTTCACCGGCAGCACGGGTGGCAGTGGTTGTGGAGGTGGTGGTGGTGGAGGCAGTTGATGATTCTGATGATTCTGATGATTCAACAGCGGCTGGTTCTTCGTGTGATTCATTTGATTCAGCAGTGAAATCAGCAAATTTATCACAATCTTCTTTCTTTGAGGCAATAACGAAAACTGGTTGGTTAATTTGAACACCTGTGGTTCCTTCTGGAACTAAAATTTTGGCTAAATAACCATTACCTTCTTCATAAACGAAATCCATAGTAGCTTTATCAGTTTCAACTTGAGCAACAACATCACCAGCTTTAATTTGGTCACCTACTTTTTTAGCCCATGAAGCAATACCACCAGTTTCCATACTTGGTGATAAAGCTGGCATACCAACAACTTTGTGTGATGGATCTAAAAAAAATTAAAAAAACAAAACTATTAATAAAAACAATTATAATCTTTGAAAGATGATAATATTAAATTAGATAATTACAAGTTTTAGTTGATTTTGGTTTTGGAGCTGGTTTTGAAGCTGGTTTTGGAGCTTCTTGTTTTGGAGCTTCGGCTGGTTTTGAAGATGATGATGAATCTACTTTAGCGTTTTTGGCAGCTTCAATATCTTCTTTCTTTGAAACAATAATAGCAATTGGCTAATATAGTTTAATTTAAATATATTAATAATCCATTTTATGAACCTAAAATTAATTGTTTTTTTCTGTTTCATTTCCAAAGTTGACCCTATAATTTAATATTGATGCAATACTTACTTGATTAATTTCGATACCTTTGGCACCTTCTGGGGCTAAAATTTTAGCTAAATAACCATTACCTTCTTCATAAATGAAATCCATAGTAGCTTTATCAGTTTCAATTTCGGCAATAACATCACCGGCTTTAATTTGATCACCTTCTTTCTTTTTCCATGAAGCAATATTACCTTCAGTCATACTTGGTGATAAAGCTGGCATAGTAATTTGTTTACCTAATGATTATATTATTTATTATTATTATATTGTTATTATATTATTGATTTGATATTTTAAATAATTTTGATTTTATTAATTTTTGATTAAATTAAAAAAAAATTTTAAATTAATATTAATGATTTCTTTTTTTTTTTTGAATTTCTTATTCGAGTTGTTTTTATTAATTAATTAATTAATTATATACCTGGAGTAGCATAGAAACGTTTAGCAACTGATGAAGTTGATAAAATTTCAGTAAAAACTACATTTTTATTTAAAGTGGTTGAACTGGTGAAGATATTTAATTTATTATTGCAAATATTTCTTTCGATTTTGTTGGTGCTGATGAATGTTCTGGTGGTATTATTGGCAACTGGTGCTTCTAATGAAACCAATTGTTTCAAAGCTTTTCTGCTGCTTTGTTTTGATACTAATCTTAACATTATTACTATTTTCAAATATAATATAATCGATCAAAAAAAAATTGATTTGAAAATACAAAAAATTGAAAAAAATTTTAAAAAAAAAAAAAAAAAAAAATTTTAAAAAAAATATAAAAAAAAAATTATAAAAAATAAAAAAAAATTAAAAAAATATAAAAAAATATTAAATATTCATTGTTGTGTGTCATTAATAATAATAATTTTAATTAAATATGTGAAATTCTTTATATAATAAAAAACTCTTAAAGCTTCAACAATACCGTTATTGGTAAATACTATATTTTCATATAATTAATAAATTTTAAAAAAATTTTTTTTTAAATGTAACTTAATACCAAAAAAAAAAAACAATAACCCTTTTTTTTTTAATTTTTAATTTTAATTATTTTTAGATCACCAAAATTCCACAAGATTATCTTTTTTATTTTTTAATTTATTTTTTTTTATAAAAAGACAATGATGGTATTATATGCACATTTATATAATAAAGCTATTTAATAATGTTTAACAATAATAATAAAATATTATCTTTATGTGGTAAAAAAATAAATATTTATTTTTTTTTTTTAAAATTTTAAAATTTTTTTTTTTTTTCATTAATTTTTTATTTTTTTTAAAATTTTAAAATTTTTTTTTATATATATTAATAATAATATATTTTTTTCATTTGTTCAATAATTTATTTTTTTTAACTTTCATTTATTTATTTTATTTCCAACCTTATTTATATAAATTATTATTAAAATATAAATTAACAAATATATATTATATTTTATTTTATATTTAATTAATAATAATTATTGTATTATAGCATAAAATAATAATTTAATGGATAGTTATAGCATAGAAACTACAAAAAAAGAAGATAACAACAACTTAGATAATAGTAATAACAATAGTATTAGTCAAAATAATAATAATGAAATTTTAAATGGTAAAATAAGTAATGGAATTGAAATTTTAAAATTAGATAGCAGCAATAATATGAATCCAATTAGTAACACAACTACCACCACAACAACAACAACATCAACAAGTTATAAAACATCAGAGGCCACAACACTTGATAATAATAATTTAGAAGAAAATGTAAAATATTTAATAAATAATAAAGATGAAAAAGTTTTAACAAATGACACCAAATCATCGCCACCAAGTTTAGGTATACCTCAGCCAAATAATATACCACCACCCTCACCATCTTTACAAAAACAAAGCAGTTTATTAGAAAACATTGAGGAGTTAATATTATCAATTGATGTCGGCACAACTAATATTAGAGCAATTATGTTTGATAAAGAGTTAAATATTATATCCAAATCAATTCAAAATATTCCATTAATTGTTGATGATAATAAGCCAGGATATATTGAACAGTGCCCAGATAGACTTTGGGAGGCATGTAAAATTGTAATGAAAGAAGCAATTGAATTATCACCAGCAAAAGATAATGTTAAATTAGTTAAAGCAATAGGTATAACTAACCAACGTAGCTCATTTTTAACATGGCGTAGAGATACCGGTAGACCAATACATAATTTAATCACTTGGCAAGACGGAAGATCAGGTGATATTTGCAAAAATGCAAATAACAGTCTAGCAGTTAAAGGTATTCATGGAGCAACTAAATTTGTACATTTATTCACAGGTAAACCACGTTATTTAATGGCAAGTCAATTGGATTTCTCTACAGCACATTCGTCAACCCGTTTAGCATGGGTATTAGATAATTTACCAGAGGCAAAGAAAGCGGCCAGAGAACAACAAATGTTATTTGGTACAATCGATACATGGTTACTTTGGAATTTAACTGGTGGTAGAGAGCATGCTACAGATTATAGTAATATTAGTGCAACAGGTTTATTTGATCCATTCGAAATGAAACTAAATAGTGTGGTATTTTATCTTTTCAATATTCCAACTCATATTATGCCAAAAATATATGATACAAGTCATCACTATGGTTCAACTTTACCCGAATTATTTGGTCACCCTATTCCAATTACTGCGCTTTGTGGTGATCAACAATCTGCAATGTTTGGTGAGTGTTGTTTTGAAGAAGGTGATACAAAGCTCACTATTGGTACTGGCTGTTTTGTAAATATTAATACTGGTTCACAAGCTCGTGCCTCTAGATCTGGTATGTATCCGCTTGTTGGATGGAAAATTAAAGATGAGGTTACCTATGTCATGGAAGGTAAAGGTATGGCCGCTGGTACAGCAATTGATTGGGCTCAATCTTTTGGAATGTTTAATGATGCCTGGGAAACGAGTGCAATGGCATTCTCGGTGCCACACTCTCAAGGTGTAGTATTTGTACCTGCATTCACAGGTTTAGCACCACCCCACAATGATCCTCGTGCCCGTGGTCTTATCATTGGTATGTCGCCCTCAACTCGTAAAGAACATGTTGTCAGAGCACTCTTGGAGTCTTTTGGTTACCGTTGTAAAGAATTAATTGATGGTATCATTTTTGATAATTATACTTCAATTCGTAGAATCGTGGCAGATGGTGGTGTTTGTCAAAATGACTTTGTAATGCAATTCATCAGTGATATAGTTGGTGGTAAAATTGATAGAGCCGCTCATCCTGAGATGACTGCATCTGGTGTCTGTATGTTGGCTGGTTTAAATGTAGGTGTTTGGAAATCAAAAGAAGAGTTATCTAAATTAAGAAAAAGCTCAAGAATATTCGAACCAAGAATGAGTAAAGATATAATCAGAAAACTATTTAAAAGATGGGAAAGAGCTGTCAAGAGAAGTATGTTTTGGTCCGAAAATAGTTTCGCTGGTGAAGGCGATGATGGTTATTTGGATATTGAAGAAGAAAATAGGTTAAGACATTTACAAGAAGAACAAGATCAATTAAATAATTCAAATTTAACAACAAGTCCATCAATACCCAAACCATCTTTACCAAATAAAAATAAATAAAATATATAAATTAAAAAAAAAAAAAAAAAAAAAAAGCTTTTTTTGGAATGAAAACTATTTTTGGATTTTAAAAAAACCTTTTTTTATTTTTTTATTTTTTTTTCTCAAAAAAAATAAAAAAACTATAATTAATGTTAATTGTTTGTTTTTTTTTTTTTCATTAATTTACATTATTTTTTTTTTACCTAATTTAAATAGTTATCAACGTTGGCGAACTTCCTGCCACCTCAATAATGAAAAAATTTGAAAAAATAAAAATAAAAATTTTAAAAAATAAAAATAAAAAAAAAAAACTAATTTTTATTATTTTTTTAAATTTATATTTTTATTATTTTTTTATTTTTTTTATGTGTTTCACCTCATTCATTTAATTAAATCTTAAAATAAATTTATAAATTAACCATTAATTTATAAAATATATAAAACAATGGATATGAAAGGAAATTCAGGTGTCCCATACAATAATAATAATAATGGTGATTATCCATCAATAGGTATGCATAGAAAAAACTAAAAAAATTACACAAAAAGTAGTAAAGTTTTACTAACCAATAGTTCTACTTTAAATATAGATCAATACAACTATGGTCAAAATAAAAACCAACAACAACAACAACCACAACAAAACAATAGTGGTGGTTTTGGGTTTCCTTCACCAACTTTTTATAATATGAATCAACAACAACAACAACAACAACAGCAACAAAGTCCACAACAACCAAATGGTTTTTACAATAACAATAACAGCAACAGTGGATTTAGCAACAATAGTGGATTTTATAATAATAACAACAGTGGATTCAGTAATAATAACTTTGGTGGTAACAATAACTTTGGTGGTAATAATAATTTTGGCAATAATCAATTTAATCAAGTATGTATTTCTTTAATGAACAATAGTAATAGATAATTATTAAAAACAACAATAGAACTAGTCAACACATAGATTTGGATACACTGCTCTTTATTTTTACTTTTTTTTATTTATATTTTTGAAAACTTTAGTAACACAAAATTTATTATTATTTATTTTAGAATGCCCAATACTCGCCACCAGGTGATACTTCAAGACAATTTATTTCACAAATTAGCGATAATCCACTTACTCAAGCCGGTTTAAGTTATGGTTTAAACTATGGTCAATCATTATTTTCAGGTGGTAAACAATATGTAGATTCAAATGTAATATCTTTTTATCATTATTATTATTATTACTATTGTATAGTTTATAAAATACTAATATTATTTTAATTTAATATAGTTTGGAAAATATTTATCATTTTCTACATTGAAATCATATTTTAATGTAAATAATTCATATGTCTTTAATAAGATTAAAAGTTTAATCTTCCCATATACTCAAAAGACATGGAAAAGAAGAATTGGAAGAACAAACGATGTTGATTCATACCTTCCACCAAGAGATGATATTAATGCCCCAGATTTATATATTCCATTAATGGCCTTCATAACCTACTTTTTATTGTATGGTTTCCAAATGGGTATGGAAAAGAAATTCTCTCCAGATTATTTAGGCGCTTTAATAACAAAAGGTATTGTTTATTGGTGTGGTGAAATGTTAATTTTTAAATGTGGATTCTTTTTTTCAAATTCAAACTCAATTCCTGTTTACGATATGATGTCATACACTGGCTATAAATATGTTTTGTAAATATAGATTTAACTTCAAAACTCCTTTTTTTATTTCATACAATACATGTACTAACCTTTTTTCTATTGTTTTATTAATTATATAGATTGGTAATTTATCAGGTTACATCTATTTTATTTGGTTCATATATTTCATTCTTTGTAAAATGTGCTTTAGCTGCCTCAATTATATTCTTCATGTTGAAGACTCTTAGATTAGTATTTTCATCTGCCGGTTCAAATGCTCATCACGATCAAATCTCATCAGAATATCAAGAATCTTCAAGTAAATACAGAAATTATTTTGTTTTCTTTTTCTCTGTACTTCAAGGTCTCTTATGTTTTATAATGTAAAAAAATAATAAAAGAAAATAGAAAATATTGATATAATAGTATAAATTTAAATAAAAAAACAAAAAATTATAAATTATAAAAATAAATGATTAAACATTGGTTTATATTGTATAACAAGAAAAAAAAACATAAAATTGTGATAAATACTATGATTTTAATTTACTTTTTAATGTAATTAAAAAACATAACATTGGGTATTTTATTTTATTTTTTTTTTTGGGGAGTTGTATTTTTATTTTAGATTTGATTGGTACAGATATATATATAAAATTATATTTAATTTGTTTATTTTTTTTTTTGATTATTTAAAAACCACCACGTAAAGCTAAAACTAAATGAAGAACTGAACCACCTTCAATTGAATATTCTGAGGCAGTTTTATCATCAGCCCTATTTAAATGAATTTATTATTAGTATTGTATGTCTAATGTATGATAGCGATTATAATAATATTTATATTACATTTGTTTACCACCAAAAATAAGTCTTTGTTGTGATGGTGGGATACCTTCTTTTTCTTCAACTCTTTCTTTAATACGTTGAATCTGATTATTAGTTTTAATATTTAGAAATGAGGCATAAAAAAAAATATTAGTAAATCAGTAGTATTAAATTATTTGAAGATCAAAATTTGATTATTATGTGTATTAAATATCTTGATCAATAAAAATATAAGTTATGTACCTTATCAGTTGGATCAATATCAATATCGATTTCTTTACCTGTTAAAGTTTTGACTTTAATTAACATTTTATATTATTGTTGTGTATATAAATACAAATTTATGAAAAAAAAAAAAAGGAAATTTTTAAAAATATAAAAAAAAAAAAAAAAATTTAATTTAAAAAAAATTGAAAAAAAAAAAAAATTAAAAAATTATATAGAATTGTGTATCTGTTTACAAAAAATTTCTCACACATTTGATATTTTAGAAATTAATTATTTTTTATTTCTATTTCTTTTTTTATTTTGGTTTTTTTTTTAAATTTTGATTTAAATTTTTTTTTTTGGGTGTTTAAAATTAAATGGTCTAGTTTTTTTTTGAATAATCTCTATCCCCAAAAATTGCTGAACCGACTCTGACTGAGGTACTTCCAAATTCAATCTTGAATTAAAAAAAATGATAAAAATAATTAGTACTATAAAATAATATATCTATTTACTATCTTTTATTTATACATACAGCTGGTTCGAAATCATGGGACATACCCATTGATAGTTGAATAGATTCTAAAGGAATGCCAGTATTCTTTGCAATGTTGTTTTTACATTCAACTAAACACTATTTATAATAAGGGTGAAAAGTTCATGTTAGTCTTTTTTAAAATAATTATTGTTATATATAGTTGATTATTTACTTTAAAATCAGGTTGATCTTCAGTTGCATTTGGACTACCAATTGTCATTAAACCTAAAAAGTTTAATTTTTCTTTACATTTTTCGTCTTCAACACAATATTTAACTAATTCTAAGCAATCATTTGGGTGACAGCCACTCTTTGATTCCTCTTGGCTTGTGTTAACTTGAATCATAATATTTAATTTGGTATTGTTTGATTTTTCTAAATCCCAACTCTTTGCAAATTTATCTAAAACTTCTTTCTTTTCAACAGTTTCGACTACATATAAATTTTTTACACTTGCTAAATGTTTAATTTTATTTGATTGAATACTACCAATATAATGCCATTTGATTTCATTCAATGATGCAAGCTCTTCTGATTTTTGGATGAGTTCTTGAATCTTTTTTAAAAAAGTTATAATATTAGAACATAGTTAATAATAAAAACAATATTAATTGAAATATACACTACATAATTTTCACCAAAGTGTCTATGGCCCTTTTCGTATAAGATTCTAATCATCTCTACTGGCTTGGTCTTACTAACAGCTACTAATGCAACATTCCTTCTATCAAATTTATTTGAAACATATTCGACTCTATCTTTAATGTTTTTATAGTTTTCGATTAATTCAAGAACATCTGTTTCATCCATTATTATTGTATTTTTAATATATTTTTTATTATTTAAATTTGTATTGGTTGTAAATGATTTATAAAAATTATTATGGTATGTTTGTTTAGTTATTGTTTTGAATGTGTTTCGAAATAAAAGCATAATTAATATGAACACACTAATATTTAATTAAAAAAAAAAAAAAAAAAATTAAAATAAAATTTCATTTTTTTTTTTTAAAAAATTTTAAAATTTTATTATGAAAAAAAAATATTTCTTTTTAAATTTATTATTTGTTTTTAAATAGAAATGGTTTCGAATATTCCCAATAATTAATTATTTATATCTATTTATTATAATGTATATTTAAAAAAAAATAAATAATTTTTTAAAATTAAAATTTTAAAAAAATTTTATAAAATAAAAAAAAAGATTTTCATTTTTTTATTTTTTTATTTTTTTTTAAATAAGACAAACTCAACATTATAATAAATAATCTTTTAAATTCTTTCTTAGAATTTATACATATATAGAACACAAAATGAGTGGGCCTCCATTTATAAGCGATATGGTTTTAAATTTAGTTAATAAAACAATGGCAAGATATGAGGGTAGATTAGGAAAAAGCTATACCCTTGAAGAGATATCAAAGCATAATACACCAGATGATTTTTGGGTTATTGTCAGGGGAAAAGTGTATGACTTGGGTGATTACCTAATGATGCATCCAGGTGGTCCAAAGTTATTGTTTAAACACGGTGGTAAAGATGCTACAGAAGATTTTGAGGGTATGTTTCATTCAAGAAATGCAAAAGCAATTTTAGAAAAATTTTGGATAGGAAAAGTTAACATGCCCACCGCCTCATCCTCTTCATCATTTTTGTCACCAAATAATTTAAATTTTAAATCACCAAATAATTTAAGCTTTAAATCACCCTCACCAAAAGCAGCCACTACTTTATCCACAACCACTTTAAATACTACTTCTTCAAATACCTCCACCACAAATGCGCCACCATCACATTCAAAAGTCGAAAAATCAATAATTTTATCAAAAGTAAAAATTCATAAAAAATCAAAACACACAGAAAACACATATCACTACCAAATTGAATTACCAGAAGAACATTTAAATTTAAATTGGATATCGCCATTATCACATGTCTCTTTATCAAAACATCATGATAGTCAAGACAGTCTAGATTTTAAAAGCTATACACCAATCAAACAAACTGACGATAAAAAATACTTGGAATTTTTAATTAAAGGCTATGACAATGGTAATGTTTCGAAGCATATTCATCAATTAAGCGAAGGTGATTATCTTTCATTAAAGGGTCCAATAGAAACAAATGAAAGCTTCAATTTTGGGAATCAAAAAGATTATTTATTAATGGTTGCTGGTGGTACTGGTATTACACCTATGATCCAGGTAAGAATTATATTTTTATATTTTTTAATAATTAAAATTAACTTTTTTTTTTTTATCTATGCAGATTTTATATGAAACTTTTTATGGTAAAAATAAACCAAATGAGAAATTAAAATTTATTTTAATTTATTCTTCAAATAGTCAAGACGAAATTATATATAAGAAAGAATTGGATCAAATGAAAGAAGAGTTTAACGACAGATTATTTATTCACTATATAATTACACAACCAAAGAGCGATAGTGGGTTTGATGAAAAAACAATGAAAAAAGGAAGAATTAATCAAGATTTAATATTAACATGTTTAGAACCAATAATTATTAAAATTATACCAAAAATGATTACTGATGCAATGGACGTTTTAGTTTGTGGTCCTGTTCAATTTAATAATTTCCAGAGCGATGAGCTATTAAGAATAGGTTTTAAATCGAATCAAATTCATTTATTGCAATAAATATTATAAATTGTATTAATAAAATAAATAATTTGTAATTGATAAATTTTTTTTATTTTTATTTTTTTTAAACATTATAATAAATTTCAAAGTTATTTTGAGTATTACCGGCATCCAAAAACTTTTCTGGGGCTGGGAATGAGATATAGAGTGGAGTTTGACCAAATTTAATTGGGCTATAATCATATTTGATTTCCACTCCATTATATTCTACAACTAGTGGTTTTGGAGTTGAGTTTGGTTTTGGCTTTGGTTCAGCTTTAAAAAAAGAGCTAAATATATAGAGCATATTATTAAAGTAGCTAAACTTGTAATAAAATGGTATTACATATGTGCTTGAGTTGGTTCTGAACTCAATCTCTTGAGATCTGAAAGTTTGGTTCGAGTGTTGAATTTCGAGGTAGTAGATACCACTGGTAGCTTTAGCTGTAAGACAACCAATATACCAATCACCCACACCTGAGTATTTGAATTTAAGTATTATTCCAGCCTTGGTATTTGGGCTACCAACCATCCTTAATGAGGCTATGATTTCTTCTACTTCTTTTGGTATTTGAAAAGAAAAATTCATTTCTTTACCACCCCATGATTGGTTTGGAAGATAAAAATGTTCATTGGGTTCTATATTAAACTTTTGAAGTTCTTGAAAAGCATTGACGGCCTCTTGGTTTGGTTTTCTTATAACCTGTACTTTTAGGTTATACTTATAATTTCGAAGATTTTTATTTGGTTGAAATTGAAACATCAAATCTTGATTAACATTTGCTTCTTCTGTAGGATCTTGTTCTTTTTGTAAATTTTGTTCTTTATTTTTATTGAAGTTGTTTGTTGGTTTGATTTCAGCGTTAGGATCTAGCTCTTGTTTTTTCTCTTGGTCGAATTTGTTATTTGAAGGACAAATTAATAAATCAATTATTTGATTTGATATCAGTATGTTATCTTTGATTATAAAAATAATAAATTAATAATTTAAATTTTTGAAAAATTATTTTATTACTTACACCATGATAAATTTTGAATATTATTCATTTTTTTATAAAAAATAATAATAAAAATTAAAAAAAAAAAAAATATTTAAATTGCTAATTTCAAAAAAAAGATGAATTTAATAAAAAAAAAAAAATATTTTAAAAAAAAAAATATATTTCATAAGTGTTTTTTCCCTGATTTTTTAGGAAAAATTTTATATATATTTTATTTGATTAAAAAATTGTATTTTTTAATTATTGATATTTTGAATCTATAAAAAAAAAGATATAAAAACTATCAAAATTAAATTTGGTTATAAATAATTTTACAGATATAAAAAGGAATCTGTGTGTGAAAGTTTATCAATTGAGATTTAAGTCAAACATAAAACTAATTATTTTATTTTTGATTTTTTTTAGGAAATGAAAATATTTTAAGTGTAATAAATTTTCATTTTTTGATTCTAATAATAGTAAAACAATATTTACAATCAGTGTTTGTAGTTCTCATTCGTGTACAATCAATTATTGAATTAATTATAAAAAGTTAAAAAATTGCAATTAAATTTTTTATTTTATTTTATTTTTTGAAATTTTTGTGAAGGAAATGTTAATTTTTTAATTAGCTTTTTATAAAGTTTTTGGAACAACCCAAATCCAAATTAGAGAATAAATTATTTTCTTTTAATAATCCTATTTATTACCTACAAACAATCAAATATTGAAAATATAACTAATAATAGATTATTTTAAATGAAAATATTTATTACAAAAAAAAAAAAATTTATTTTATTATATCTTATTTTATTTATTTATTTATTTATTTATTTATTTATTTATTTATTTATATATTTATTTATTAATTTAATTTATTAATTTTTTTGAATTATAAAAGTGTATGAAAAGAAAGTATGAATCTTTATAATGCATTCAAGATCGCTTGATAAATATAGCAACATGTTAATCAGATTGTGCAAATGAATCAAAAATTTTAGAAAAAAAAAAAAGGAGGGCATATGTGGTTATAAAAAAAAAAAATTTATTTAATTTTAATCAAAACTTTTTTTATTTTTTTTATTTTTTTTTTTATTTTTTTTTATTCTTTTTTTATTTTTTTTATTTATATATAATTATTATTTTTATTTAAGTTATTTTTAAAAATTATTTTAATTTGTATATATTTTTTTTAAAATAGATCAATCAAAAATAAATAAATAAATTAAAATTATATAAAATAAATATACAGATTTATAAATCAAAAAAAAAAAAAAAAAAGAAAAAAAATGAAAACCATTATAAATTTTTTTACAACACTAGTTTTAATTATATTCCTATTAAATATCAACAATAGTAATGGGCAATATACAAATGATATTTGTGAAGTTTATACAAATATTACAGGTTTAATTAAAACTGAAAATGTCGTAGTCCCACAAGTTTGTTTTAGAATTGTACCATCGCTCGGTAATGCATATCTTAGTGATTCAATTACTATCAACATTCTTGGTGCAACTATTGGAGAAAATTCACAACTTAAAGTTTTCCAAGGTTCTGACTTTATTAATGGTGATCCAATTTTAGTAATTAATGAAACCTTAACTGATGCATTAGAACCAATTACAATTAAAAATGGTATGGTTATTTTATTTTTAGATAGTGTTTCAAGTGATCCAAATACCCCTGTAGGTGATTGTTTATTAACTGTTTCATATGCTTCTTCGACTGGTAACTATTATAATAACTAACAATTATAATTAATAATATTATAAAACTAATTTTTAATAATTATTTGTAGAAAAACATTTAAAACCATCCGTTGTTGGATTAATTTCAGTTGCAGTTGCATTTGGTGTACCATTATTTATTTTCTCAATTATTAAATGTCTCATTCCAAAGAGTACCAAAAAAGAAAAAGCAAATTCAATTAAAAAAGTATTCTTTTGGATTTCTTTTATTTTAGGTTTAGTATTTTTAGCAATGATTTTATCAAGAAAAGTTGGTGTATAAAAAAACTATTATTTATTATCAAAACATACACAAAACTCTGTTATATATTATAATGTCTAAAATAAAATTGTAAATTTATCTTTAAAACCAAAACAAACCTTTTTTTTTTTTTTTTTTCTTTTTTTTTTTTTTTTCGGTTTTTGGGGATATGTTGCCATTTGTAATCAAACGAAAATAATCAATCAAAAAATAATAAATGTAAAAAATAAAAAATAAATAAAATAATTTTAAATTCGTAAAAGTAGTAGTTATATTTTTTTCTTTCTATTTTTTTTTTTTTTTTTTAAATAAATAATTTATTATACAAAGAAAAGGAGGGGAGGTTTTTTTATATTTTATAATGATGGTTTAAATGCATCATTATTTCTTTTTTTTTTTTTATTGTTATTATAATTTGATTATTTGAGTTTTTTTTTTTTTTAAAGTTTATATATAAAAATTGAAAAATTGAAAAATTATATTATATTGTTTTGTTACTATTTACTATTATTACTGTGTTATTATATATGAAAAAAATAAATATATTGGTTGTTTTTTTTTTTATATATAAATATTTGAGTTTTGATTATTATATATAAAATTTATACTATTATTTAAAAGTTTGAACAAATTTATGTTAAAACGACTTTTCTGTGTTTGGGGGCTTCAATTTCAGCTTCCTCATCGAGTTGTTTTTGATAGGCGAAAGCGTACCAACCCATAGCACAAACGGTGAAAGCTTGGGCCCAAATTCTACCCTTTAATAAACGATTGGTAGTGAGTGTATTACCACCTTTGGAGTGATTGAACATACCAGCGGTTAAGAAACCAATAGTAGCTAAAAGACCACCAACTAAAACGTAATCTCTTTTAACACCTTCTGCGATGGTTTTTGGTTTTGGTGGAATAGTGAATTTTCTTGATAAAGTGTTGAAAACATCATTACCAGATGATTGTTGTTGAACTGGTTGTTCAATATTAACTTTATTTTCTTCGGTCATGGTTTTATTAATTTATTTATATATTATTTTAATATGTAAAAAAAAAACACACACTAAAATGCTATATATATATATAATTATTGTATTATTGTATTATATATAAAAAAAAGATATTTATTAAAATTTTAATAATATTTAAATTATAATAATTTTTATTATATTTTAATTATTATATATATTAATATAATGTTTTTTATGAAAAATAATTTAAAAAAAAGGTGGTGTGTTTAAATATAAAAAAATTTTTTAAAAAATTTGAAAAAAATTTAAAAAAAATTTACAAAAATTATTTTTTTTTAAAAATTACTGAAAATTAAAACGACGCATTCTATCTTATGAAATTTCTTTTAAATTTGTGAGCCTTTATTCTAAAGGAAACGTAATAATTTGTTAGAAGCCTTGTTTTTTCTCTTTTTGTAGCTCGATCTCATACTAACCTACACAAACAAAAAATAAAAAAGAAAACCAATTGAAATAGTTTTTTTTTTGGTTTTTATTATTTTTTTTATTTTATTTAATTTTTTAGATATATTAATTAATTTATAAAATAAGAAATAAATTAGATTAATAACTATTTTTTTTTAGTGGAAATATGAAAAAACGAGACCACACAGATGGGATGTCTAATAACAACTTTTAAATTCAAATAATTGTTTGAATGTGTGAAATTATTTTTTAATTTAAAAAAATTATTTTTTTTTTCTTTTTTTTTTTAATTAAACAAAAATTAATTTTTTTTTTTTTTTTTTTTTTAATTTTAAAAAATTTAAATATCTTTTTATTTTATTTATTATTTATTATTTATAATTTATTAAAAATACAGAAATATGGCAAATAATATTAAAAAATTAACTATTGGATTATTAAAATGTGATACATTCATACCTGAAGTTAAAGGTAAATTTGGGGATATTGATCAACAATTTAGAAATTTACTTAGTACCAATACATTATCCACAAAAATTGAATTACCAGTATTTGAAGTTGCAGAAAATCAATTCCCAAGCAAAGAGGATATATTAAATAAAAAATATAATGGTTTTATTATAACAGGTAGCAGATCATCGGTGAACGACGACAATGAATGGACTAATACATTAAAAGACTATATCAGATTCTTTTCAGAAAATAAAATAAAAACAGTTGGAATTTGTTATGGTCATCAAGCAATTGCAGTAGCTATGGGCGGTGAGGTTACAACAACATCAAAAGGTTGGGCCGTATCTGACCATCCAATTAAAATCGTTGAAAAAAATAGTTTTGAAAAGCAACATCCAAAATCATTCAACGATTTATTCAATGGTAAATCAAACAAAGATAGCATAAATATTATTTTTTCAAACAAACAAGTAGTTTCAAAAACACCAGAAGGATTTGAAATATTTGCATATAACGACTACTCTACTAACCAAGCAATGTATAAAAAGGATCAGTTTTACTCTTTCCAAGGCCATCCAGAATATACACCAGATTTAATTAAAGAAATTATCTCAAGAAGAAGAGGTTTAATTCCAGATGATGTAATTGAAGATGGTTTAAAAAGAGCAGATAAATCCAATATTGATAAATCAACTTTTTCAAATAGTATTATTGATTTCTTTTTAGAAAAACAACAATAAATAAAATAAATAAATAAAACAATGTAATTTACATATATAAAAAAAAAAAAATAAAAAATTATAATAATAATAATTTTTTTACTTTTTACAATTTATTGTTTATTGTTAATATTAATGGTTTTTCAAAATATAATTAAAAATTAATTATTTACCATCTATGTCCAAACCATTAATTAAACTTTTACTAAATATACTCCATTCTGATTGTTTACTATTATTATTACTATTTAAATTATTGTTATTACTATTATCATTTAAGTTGTTGTTGTTGTTGTTGATGATGTTATCATTATTATTTATATTACTATTTAATTCGGTGGTGTTAATTGAAAGATGATGGTTATTAAATTCATCTTCTTCTTGATTCTCCCCAAAGTCATCGTTGTCATCGTTGTCATCGTTATCATAATAAGGTTTACGATTTAAAGGTAAGGATTGATAGGATTTGTTAAAAACACGTAGCTTCTTTTTATAAATCAAGAGGCCAATCGCAAGAATTATAAGTAAACACACTATAGTCGAAATTGAGATAAGTATAAGCTTCCATGGTTTCATGCTACTGTGAAGAGTAAAATAAACTATATTGGTATTATTGTTACCCCATACAGTTGCCTCTATAACAATTTTGCCAAATAGTTTGGGTACAACCAGTATACTAACTATACCGTTTGAGTCTGTTATGTTTCTAATTGATGACATGTGGCTTGGGTAGAAATCTGCATTACCACCAACAACATTGAAGCTAACAATAATACCACTGACAGCTGTTTTGTTTTTCGAATCTGATAGTTTTAAAACCAATGGGCTTGCAAATCTTTCTTCTTCAGTAGACTTTTGTAAATTTCCACTTTCAATACTGAGCATCAAAGATGTGTTGTTATTGCCTTTGGTTGAGCATCCATGAGTTCTTGCAAAACCAATGGAGCTATTTTCACGATTGTAGATCACATTATAACCTTGAAGAACTACATCACCAATAAGAACAGAGATTTCTTTCATATGCGATATACCAAAGCAATAGAGACCATTGATATTTAAAAAGTATAGATCAGGTGGCACCTCTAATTTGAATGATGGTTCTCCATTCATACCTTTCATTTCTAAATAGATTGTTGGATATTCTGAAATAAGTTTTTCTTCTAAATGATGGCAATTACCCTCCCAAAAAGGGTCGTTACAGATACCAGGTAGTTCGCAATGCTTCTCTTCTAGGTTTCTAACTATAGAGTAAAAAATTTCGTCACTAAAATATAATAAGGTTGTGCCACTATCCACTATTGATGTGGATAAATCGGGTGGAGCCAAATTAAGAGAGTCATTTCCAACATAGATATTTGTTACTGTGATCGAGTAGTAATGAGAGTCAAAAATTGGTGTATATTTTGGAGTTTCTTGAGTAATATGGTCGTTTGTACCACCGATAGTTAGCAGACCACCATCTTTTCCTAAACACATAGAAAACACATTCGGTATATTATAATGGGCCACAATTTTTGAAAAAATATCGTCACCATTATCTGGATCTAGTTGTTGAAAAGATAGACCTAAAATACCGTCCCTTACAGCTTGGGATCTCTGAGTTGAGGGGCAGGTAAGTTGAGAGAATGACAATGACTCCTTTTGAATGTTTCCAAATTTAGCAGGAACGGTAAAATCACCTATTGTAACATGATCGATAACTAATGAGCCAGCTATAAAAGAGCCATCCCCATATTTAAGGACAAATGGACACGGTTTATTAGATTTATTATTTTTACAAGTATTACAGTTACTAGTGTCACTACAATTTAATTGATTTGATGATATACTTTCTTCTAAACTATATAGACCATCTAAATTACCATCTGAACAACTACATGATGTCTTTATGGATTGGGATTTATATAAATAACAATTTGAACCAGGTACAGCTAATGATGTACTACCTGTATCTACTTGAACTGTAAACATTTGTGGTGGTGTACCAACTAAAATAGGTATGAAATATTCAAATGATGATGTTATACCGCCATATAAAATTGATGACGATGTTTTTATATAATTGTTATTACTGCTATCATTGTTACTGCTATTATTGTTGTTGTTACTATTGTTATCGCTACCATTACTATCATTAATAAACTCTAAATTGTTATTATTAAAATCGTCATCGTCCTGAAATTCTTTATCTTTATTCCTTTTTTTTAAATTGTAATACGTTATGTTATGATTATAATCATTATTTTTTAATTTTAAAAAACTATATATTTTTGATGTTTTGTTGTTGTTGTTGTTGATATTGCTACTATTACTGTTAGTATCATTGTGGTTTGTTATTAATAATTTATTTTTATATTGGTTTTTATTTATTAAATAGTGTATATCCTGACGACTAATTTTTTTATTATTTACAGTGCTTGTTAAAATTAACTCTTTGGTTTCTGGGTGATATAGATGAATATCTTTATGTTTTCTGCTAATAGAAATGGATTTACATTCTGATATATCGATACTAGTCGTTAAAATTATTGCTATTATTATTATTATTATTGTTGTTGTTGTTGTTATTTTATTGTAATTAAATTTCTTATTATTGTTTTCATTTTTATCGTTAATCATTTATTTAATAAAATAAATATATAAAATATATAAATATTAATACAAATTATAATAAAAACAAAAAACAAAAAATAAAAAATAAAATAAAATAAGATAAAAAATAAAACAATGTTATAAAATTTGATAATATATTTTAATATATTTATATATAGAATAATATTAAAAATAATAAAAATAATTAGAATAACACACAACTATTTTTTTTTTTTTTTTTTTTTTTTTTTTTTTAATTTTATTTAAAATTTTTTTTTTAAAATAATTTTTTTTAAAATAATTTTTAAAAAAAAAATAATTTATGTAAATGATTTTTTTTCATAGCGATTTAATTAAATATTTCTTTTTTATTTTTTTGGGAAGTTAATAAAACTTTTTTTTTTTTATTTGTCTTTTTTTTTTTTTTTTTTTGAACTTCTCAAAATCTAAATTATATCATTGTTAAAACTTTAATTTATTTCCTTTTTTATTCATTATAATAATTATAAATTATATTAAAAAAAAAAAAAGCCATTATTATATACTTACCAAAAATGTAATCAATTAATTTATTATTTTTTTATCTTAATATTGTTATAAAAAAAAGTAAATAATAAAAAAAACAACTAATAAAAAAAAAAAAAAAAAAAAAAAGGTTAGTCAATCATAAAAAATAACATTGTATCCCTAACTTCATACTTTTTACCTTAATCAAATATATTTTTAAAGGATTAGATCTATACCCATTTATATTCAATAAAATAATAAATCATTATAGTGATAGTAACAACTATAAGTTTTTCTTTCGAATGACCTTTAAATTATAAAAAAACATCATCTTACCAAATAGATTATAATCTTCAAATAATTGTTTTATTAAAAAAATCAATTATATGTATCAATTTAATCACAATAAAAGAATTTAAATCTTTAAATCACTATAAATCTTAAAAAAAGATAAAAAAAAAATTATTTTTGCATTGTGGTTACAATTTTCTTTTTTTTGATTAATATTGTTTTTTTGTTGTTGTGTGCTGTTGTTAGTCGTTTGTTATATCCAATTTTTTATTAAATCCATATTTGTATAATTAAAAATTAAAAATAAAAAAACCAACACAGCTAAACAAAAATGGTAGATTAAAAAGTTAAATTTGGGTTTTAAATAACTCTTTCGAAAATTTATTTTAAACACTTTCTGGAACTAACTCACAAATACATCCCGGCCCACTCAGATACTTTTACCTTTTAGGGGGGATGGGTTCAATCCAAAATCAATTTTTAAAAAATAGGGGGGGGGATAAAATAATTAAAAAATTTATTTTTTTTTTTTTTTTTTTAAAAAAAAAG